ACCTGACAGAGGGACGATAGAGGTCCACATTTGATGAAGTAGAAAATGGAACTTTTCGACCGTTCCCGTTCATTCATACTTAATTAATTCAAGAAGAATTTGATCGATCTTGTAGGCCTTCTTCATCTTGAGGTCTAGCAGGGACTTTTGGACTTTCAGCTTAATATATGGGTCTGTACAAAATCCTAGTGTTGGCACAGGTCATAAATGACGAATTTCACCACAGTCACTGCGCAGCTGCTGAAAATGTTCAGCCCATCTTTTGAGGCGTTCCCACTGACCTGTCTATGTAACCCCGTCATCTTTTGAATAAGACCCTTCCTCAATGAACAGCTGTGGCACTCTTTCTGTTGTGACAACGGTTCGCTTAGCCATCTTCTTGATTTCCCAATCTAGTCAAAATTCCCTGTCCGCCTGCAGTTCTATTTGACTATCCGCACTAGACGGCAATGAGCTGCCTTCGAGGGTGCAATAGATTTTTCAAACTGCTCATTCTGCTTTCTCAAAATTCTTACGGTCAGGGCCTTCTCCTTAACCCGGGGCAGTTTGCTTATCCTCCTCCTGACATCATCTACGCTTTCCGCTGAGGAGGAAATGCCTTCTTTCATGTCTATGTAAATTTATCGACATTGCCCTGTTGGACTCGGGACTAAGCGTGGCATTAAAATAATTCCTCATTTTCTTTCCGTAGGCAGACCTCAGGTCTTCGTCATATCTTAAACTATCAGCAGAGGGCAGCGGATGTGTTTCAGCCAGACGACGTCGATACGACACGGTCAATTTTAGACAAAGTTTTGTCAAAGGGGTACGAGCTGCGCATTTGCCAAAGACTCCAGACATTCCCCCGCTGGTGGAAAATTATTGTAAAGCTTGAATAGCGCAGAAACGGATTCATTCAACTTCTTACAGACACCCACTTTTCTGCGTTGTCAGCATTATAGAAGTGCTTCATTCGCGAATCCTACTCAGTGAATAATGCTTTATTACTACTATTATTTCTGGTCCTCGAATACAATGGAACACAGACTGCTCAGATGACCTTTAACATAACTTACAGCGAGGGGGGAGGACTGTGCAATGCGCTCTGAAATCTGATCCTGAATGAGTTTTGAATGATATATTTGTTGTAAACATATATGTGGTATGTATTGTGTCATAAAGGGGTTAGTTACCGATCGTACTTTCGTTTAAATCATATGCAATTATATATTAAAAATTATTACTTCTATGAGATGACCGTCAGGCTTTATAACCTATGCTTGTTATGCTACGGTTTCTTTGTCCATTCGATTACAGTTTGAGATTTTAAGCCAGTAAAACAGGTATATTACCATAAGCTGTTCAAAATACGGACCCCATTTAAAATTCCATACTACCAATTCATCCGCCTCATTTTCAGCTTATTTTTGGTGTCAGCGGCATTTTATCTTTGAGGTTTCTGGGAGATACAAACAACCGTTCTCTCACAGGAAAAATCACGACTGCAGTAAGTCAATCGAAGAACTAAAAAGTTGCACCAGTTTCGTTAATGACGACTATGCAACGATGACCCGGTCGTCGCTACGGGGTCTATGATACTCAGTTCCCGTTCACGCCGGTCATCGAGCTTCTTTAGCGAGCCACTAATATTGTGACTGCAAAGTTGGGGGAGAAAAAGACTTCCGCATGGTTCGCGAAATGACTCTGAGGCAGACGCCTAACTTTCTGAACTTTTCAGCGAGTGCCGATATAAATTTTAGAGCTGAACGTTAATTCAAATCCAAATGCAAACGCCTTTCTGTTTATAGCTGTCACATGACTCCTGTAAAAGCTGAACTCGGTCGATCGTTGTTAGTGAGGACGGCCATTCCGAAAAGGAAAATGAAGCTTCCGGTGATAAAAGCAGTGAATAGTCATTTTATGCATTTCTAACGCAGCAGCAAAGAATCGCGGATGCCACAGAGGAGGAAATAAAAAATGGCAATCGTCATCGGTTCATAATCGACGTTAAGACCACTGCGCCAACGAACTCTGGGTTCTGGTGAGCAGAGACAACTGTTCGATAATCTAAGGGCCTGCGCTGGCAAGCTGCTGCTTGCATAATGCATACCATAATCTGTCCTTTAACTCATGTCACGCCACTCGCAACAGCAACTTCTGTAGATGACTAAACAGACAGGACTCGCGTCAACTGATTTTGTCGCTCTTGCGCTAGCGGGATGTGCAGGGGGTAGTTTCGTAGGTCAATCATACCTTTGCTTTGAAGGAAATCATACCAGAGGAAACACCAGTATGGAATCGAGTGATATTTGAGGATAAAACGAGAAAGATATGTTACCATCCAGAGCGCTAATCCACCTATGCCCGCAAGGGCTGAAATTGGTTTTCGGTTCAATTCAAGTCGGTAATACCGCGGATTTGATGCATTGCTACTAAGCTTCAGCATTGTTGTCCATAGGTTTCAGTGACGACGTGGTTTGGATGTAGTTGAAGTACAATCAGTAATGCGGCATCGTCAGCCTGGACTGAAAAGCAAATTACTTTTAGTTCTTACCGGTGTATACAGAATTACCACTGCGGAAGGGTGCATATAAACCGTTACAGTATTCCGTGATTCGGAATTATCAGGGTCAAGTAATACCTCCAGAAACAAAAGTTCCTTACTAGAATCATACCGCTGAGTTTACACAACTAGGCCAGAAACCGAAATCGGTTCACTTTGCTCTAATGGTGCCACATCAGCATGTTCTAATTATCTTGGAGCAGTCACCCATTACTCGTTCATCTCAAAGTTGCCATTCTCTGTTGAAACGATGCAGTGATATCGTCATTGTTTTTTTCTATTATCTATGCGCCCATTGTTCCAAATCTGAGTACCCATTGGGCCTGTTTCCTCTCCGGATATCCGTTGAAGGCACAAAGAGCTCAGTCCATCTCTAGATAAGAAACTGATGCCTGTGTGATTCTGTGCATGTCATAACGACCATGCATGTGTTTTGTGCGTTTTAAGAAACAGCAGTCATTCATAAGCATCGAACTGCATGCGATGTAGTAATAGATGCAGCAGAAGCAGAAACTTTAAAATACTGTAAATTAAACATACATCGCAAAACAGAGGTATTCTGTTTATGCTAACGGCTCAACAACAGCCGCTAGTACGTGGTAAAGCTACAACCCAATAACTAAGGAAGTTGGAATCCTGTTTTAGCGTTACGCTGCCGATCAACATGTAACAAGATCAGCGTAAGCAAAAAGTTACGATGTCAGTTTCGACCATGCAAAACAAACATTACCAGCGCGATCACTTGCTGATAGAATCAGAGCAGTCCGAAAATAAAGACATACATATGGACAAGAGAGAGGCATCCTTCCCTCATCTGTCTTGACAGAGTCTGGAGTTCAGGTACCTCATAAATATTTATAGTACACTGGCTGCTCTTCAGACTGAGAATTAACCGCTAAGATGGTTTGGGGACTTTCTGCTAGGAACGGAAAACACCTACTGCTTACTCGATCGATAAGCCAGAGATCAGGATCAACTTTCAGAATCACCAGGGCAAGTGCCTAGACACACTGCAATAGTTATGTTAATGTCTTTGCATGATAGTCAACCAGTAAAAAAAGTTTGTCATTATATTATTGGGAAACTTGAGTAAGACTAGGATTTCATTCGAGATGCCACTGCTATCGAATTTAATCATTATCTTCCATGACCGCTTCTTTCGGGGCGCGGTGGCAGACGCGTCTGACAGTGCTTCCAACGTACCCGATCTTGTGCCAGAGTCTGAGCTTCGGCAGAAGACAACTGGAGCCTGGAACAGACTCCT